CTTACTGATGTTATAACTGTGAAAATTTGGATGTTTGTGAGTATGTCAAATCACTGTCTTCAAATGTAAGGAGGGTATTGAAGATAAGTATATTCTTAAGTAAGTGTGTCTAATAAGTTAAATAATAAGTTACAGTACTTTTAATCATGCATCAGTGCCGCTTATACACCGTACGCACATGTACCGTAGGTTGCCTTAGAAAATTCTAAACCCTTCCTTGAACTTAATAAAAAGAATGTTACCGAACTAAGCGATACAATCAAAAAGTTCTATCTAGGATTAAATTATGGATTTGTGACTTTTCATACAGCAGATCTAAAGAAAATGACACTGGTATAGCGATTAAAAGGGTGACTGTAAAAATACAAATATAATAATGTAGCTATTTTTGATCTAATTATCATACATTTTTATTTTTTTACAACTACTGAAGCTTTTGGAGGATATAAAACATATTAGAATAACTCTACATAATTTGTTTATTTGAAAAATATGTTTCATTAGGCTATGTTAAATTTGTTTCGTCTCTAATCACAAAACGTTAAAGTTGTCGTCTAACTATTGCAAGTGTTTCATAAATAAATTAAAATATCATATTTCTCGTATGTGTGAGAAACCATATAACTATATGTGTTTATAGAGAAAACATATAAAAACTTGTGTGGCACGGGTTGAAGTTACGTTGAGAAAATCCCCTTTAACGTCAATGAATCAAATTGATCGAATCGGTATTTTCCCCTTAAATAAAAGTACGTTTTACCAGCACCTTAGTAAAATTACCAATTAAGATGTTTCCGTACCAAAAAATTACAAATAAATTAAACAGTGACTTAACTATAGATAATATATTTTCAAAAGTTGACAACAATTTAGTTTTCGCTAATCAAAATTAAATTTTTATATTCGTAAAATTATATATTTTGCTTTTAAATGTGATAAAATTATAAATGACATTAATGATGGTAAAGAGAAACAATATGCTAGTTTTAAATACTGCTCATAATATACGTTACGAAATTAGTGTGTTAATTGGTACACAAGCCTACCAACATCAGCGGTGCAATTTCATTAAGGAGAGTTAAGAACATTTTTCTTAAATCACTGCAAAGGCAGGACGCATTAGTCTGATTAAATTTAATGCTTTGATTTTACACGGCTTAAAATACAGAGTAGTCAGGGATTTAGGTTTGAATTTCAATCTCAAATATACCTTAAAATTATATAGATTTATCTTTTGTTCGTTATACATTTTTTTTCATTATAGGCACCTTAAGACTATGGTAAAACTTACAGTATCATAAGTTAATATTATGAAGCCAAATAGCTAATGTTTAAACGTAAGGTTTCCTTTTAAACGATTTTCACACTGACTTAATTATTTAGTCAAATTCTGTTTAAAATTGGTAAAATGGTCCAATTCATAGTTTTTTAATAACTTTGAAAGGAGTTTCAAATACATTCAATATAACTCCTCATTTAACAGCTTAAAATAAATAGCATTTTCCATTTTACAGTGTTTTTAGTTATATTTTATACTGTAGAAAAACATTAAGATTGGTAAGTTAGAGTGGAAGCAAAGACTATACTGTATATAGATTAAACCCAGACAGCTATCCGGACGATGCGTAGAACCCCGTCATCGTCTGGCCCCTTTTACTCTATATAGTCTGTGGTGGAAGGGTTTAAATGAATATTTTTTGTAAACTTAGTGGAGGCCTTTTATGATAAATACATCACCGTAGAAAATCTTGTCATTATCATGGTTAATTTAATGTCATCGGGTAATGTATTTTAAGTATTTTCTCGTTTAAAATCTTCTTAACCTTTGTAATGCACGTACAAATTCTCATTCTTTGTTGACATTATAGTTTTATAAAAGTTTGTAAATTAAAACTATTAAGATCAGTAATTTGAAAAATATATACTAAAATATGTACTTCGTTGGAGAATTCGTGCATGGAAATAAAACCAATTCATCAGAAGGATAATCCCTTAATCCTCGATTTATATGAGACCCATCAATCTAATTTTCATGCAATTTCCCTTAACATTATTTTTATCATCGTTATATTGTATTGTAAGCTAAATCTTTAATTGATTATAGATATTTAACAAATGATTGCGTATACAATAATTGATGATTCACATAAGTATTAACTAAAAAAACTTAAAAATTATATTTTTTCATATAGACAAAATAAAGTTACAATGCATCTTAAAGGAATTACAATGCTACTTTTTTGTTTTGTTAGTTGATTTAAGAGCGTTTGCTATTGATTATACAAATAAAGACAAATTAATCTAATAAATTTACATAGTTTTACTTTCGTGTATTGTATTGTTCAGCTGATTATGGTAATATTGGTTCCTAACTAGTTAACGAATCTCAAACAGCAAAACAAAAATGCAATTCTTGTTCTTAATAATTTGGACGTCATTCCTCAGTTGATATATTAAAAATAAATATGCCTATAAAGTATTTAAATATCAATAATAAGCTAAGAAATACCGTACCATTCTTAATGACCGTACACATAAGGTCTGTTTTAAGTGGTGTATGGTGGCTTTTAAGTTTAAATTCATTTGCTTATATATTGATCAATGAAATATAAGTCTGCGATTACGTAATTTAATTATACAAAAAAAACGTCATAGAAAATTTTTATTACGTTTTAATTTAATACAAAAACCTGGATGTGTAAAATCTCGCTTATGTTTTGTCTTTCGCCTGGTTGAATTAAAACTCCAATATGTAAATTAATCAAATAATAAGAAAACCAAGTTGTTCACCATTTAGATAATAGTAGGGTAACTAGTTATCGCCTATTTTTGACAATCTAAAAACCTAGATTGAAATGCAATCCACAGTTGTTTTAAATATTGATTAAATGTATTAAAAATTGATTTTCTACACATAAAAACTACAAATTTCAGTAAATACTTGATATGGCTGTTAATTTCGTCCAACCAGTACTGCGTTCAGTAGTTTCAAAATGTTTAAAAGTATTTAATTAACAGTGATTAAAAGTTTAGTGTCTTATGATGAACTTAGTGTTAGCTTCAGGTATAACTATGTTTAAGTAGGTACGATGAGTGGAGTGGTCCACCATTTAGTAACACGTTGTGTATGAAGTTCCTACCCATATAAATACTGCAAGATTTAAAAAATAGAGTTACACTTCGTTAATGGCGTCTACATCTAGCCTTATATAGAGCTGCCAGTTGCCACTCTTGGTATTACAATCATGTTATACATGTTACATCATACTCAGCACATCTGTTCCCAATCGTAATAAGACCTTATTATATATCGATGAATAAGACAAGCGAAATTCTGCTCGTTAACATTTCAGGCCTTCTAAACTGTTTTAATTTCTTAGAAATAATGGAAAATTACGCATCTAAATACGTTTGACTATGGAGGCTTTTATAGATTTACAGTAGGTTTTTTTTCTTCTTTTTTTAGGAATCAATATAATTGGTTTGAGGTAAGTTGAGTCGTGCGTATTATTGCCGACAGCGTGCATTCATTTTGTTAACTTACGGTATTGTATTGTTGTATTGTTGTGTATTGACGATAATAATGTATTAAAATAATTTTACTTGAGACGTCAAGAAGCCAAAAAAATAAACAGTTGAAACTAGTCACCCGAGACTAAATTAGGGCTGAAGATAGGTAATGTATTTAGACTTATTTGAATTGTCACCAAGTTTAAATCTCTCAATTACTGCCCGATTTACCAAAATTTACTGAAATTCTTTATGATATTTGTCTAAATTGTCTTTTCAATACGATTAACGTTTTCATTTTTTACTGTTAATTGTCCAAAACGAAGATTTCAACTTAATACTCAAAGTTTACTTTGGGGTACTAAAAAGTATATATGTAAGGTTGTAATGCCCAAAATAATGCATGTCAGTTGTTCTGCAGTCATGCGTTTTTTTCATTTCACGTTTACTAGTAACATTGCATCCTTTTTAGATTGCATTTTAGCTATACCTTTGATTCAATTGTTACTATAGGTATAACGATAACAATAGTGTTGAAGATATTAGTGAAGAATTGTCATGAACAAAATCGTTTACACTTAAACATATCCATACACAGTATTGCTTTGTATTGCTATCTTACCAAGATTGAAAACGTGTTTCATAAATAAAAGATCAATAATTGTCAAGGAACGCCAAACAATCTACTTGTAAATCGAAACAGATACATTTTTTTAAGTTTTTGTTTATTCATGTTAACCAAGTAAACGTCAAAACATTATAATAGTACATGTGAATATAACTGTACCGTGAGTACCTTTACTTTCTTCAAATCCATTATTTGCATTTTAAATAACTTTTAATGTGATACCGCATATCATATCAAATTCAGTCACAGTTATCACCGATCATTCTTATCACGTTTCTTCGTACACAGTCACATATGAATCATTCAGATCTATTTTAGCCTCCCTGACGCCTATGTATATTTTAACTTAATTATTGCTTAAACAGTTTAAACTAAAAAAGAGAGTGATTTAGACTGCGTCAAAAAGCACTCAAGCGTTTCCAGAGCAATTAATGCAGCGCAATTTAAAAATTCCCTCTTATAATCATATTCAGATTGTTTAAACAATATTTTTTAACCATTGATGTGGTAATATTTTTGTATATTTGCTATAAACTTGCGATATTGAAGGCAATTCTACATTACTAAGGTTATGTATGAAATAATTATTGTTAATAATAAATAACGTGTCCCTACCAAAAATAGTAGCATATAGTACATTTTAACAATTCACCCAGCATCATTTTCACTAAGTGTTTACGATTCGTTATCTACAGAGACCACTCAGCCCTATCTCCAGATGGGGGTTTGATGGATCGATTGTAGGTCTACACAGCTGAAACTTGACACCGAGATGAGCGCGCCGATCAGCTGGGTAACTAGGGCGGGGAAATCAGCTGATGGCATTGTGCGGTTGGTAAAACCGGTTGTGCTTATTGCTTACCTGTGTGAGCGAGACGGACAATGTTAGAAGAGTCACACAACACCGCACTGCACTAGTCTCTCGCACCGACTGAACCAAAACCAGAACCACGCCGCTGCCTCCCACATTTCCCGCGTCGAGACGAATTTCCCCCAAGTGGGGGAATTTCGAGCGGAAACAGATAATATCGTTGCATTAGTATTTTCGTATAACACGTGTTGACTCTAGTTTATTCTAAATTATATCTTTTCAAAACAATAAATTGTGGTGTTTTTCTTTATTAAAAGCTAATAATAAAGGTTATAACTATTATTTCTTATACAATCCGTGTCCGCTTTATGGTATTGTTACGTAAATTAAACAACGTGTATTGTAATTTATACCTAATTAGAATTTAATTTGTCATGATCATTTACTTAATACACACTTAATGACCTACTCCATACATTACACAGGATTTTTTGACACATTCCCGTCAAAGCTCTGTACAAAATATTTTTGGTTCGTTACAATAAAGACTTAACCATTAAAAGTCGTGTCAGGAATTCTTGTTAATTTTTTTTGTGTTCAACTTAGGACCTCATAGCACTTTACCAACATATACGATCAACAAGGATATGAGGTCGACTTGTACCCACACTAATTTACAACATAATAAATGCATAATGTTTTCGCCAACGGTGATAATTACCTTTACTGTTTATACACAAAAGTCACTTTAAAAAACTTTTAAATTTCACAACAGAATCACAAATGATAACACTACAAAGGTTTTTTAATTGGTCGTTGTGAGAAAAATTCCCTCCTTCACTGTACAGAGAATATCCATCCTACCACGCCTAAATTTCCCCGCAAGGGGAAATTCTCCCTGCAGCAGGCGGATGGCCCGGAGCGGTCGTGTCTTGCGCACTAGCCAACTATCAGGTCAATGGAGACGACGCTGCGACGTGTGCGTGCGTGTGCGTGTGTGTGTGTGTGTCACACTGTTACGCGTGTCACAACAATGGTGCAGGTGTTTAAACTGGATCATCGAGGCAAGGTTAGAGTACATGGCTACAGACTATTTCTCTCTCTACATCTGTTGGTGAGAGATGAGGTGAATAACAACGAGATAGAGGAGTGTTGTAGGATGAAAAAGATACTTTGAATGTTAGTGGTGTAAAATGCGTAAGTGATTTTTCACAAGGAAAAACGTCTAGAGATAGTTAAATTGGAAATATACACGTGATTTAACATATATAAGTTTAGACCAGGGCTGGGACCACAACTACAGCAACTACAAAACTATACAAGATGTAAATGACTTATAAAATCACTAATTAGTAAACTTTCTCTCAACTAGTGTTGACAGAGTGGACGAGATTTCATATTTGCACAGTAAAAAATATTTAGTTGGTTTCTGTCCAAGATTGGTGTATATGTTTGTACCGCGCGGATACTAACTACTGAAAATCATGTACACAAATATATATATATCATGGAGACCAGTCATTATATTTGAATATTCACAATCAACAATTTGCATTAGGCTGAGGCTCGGGGCGTCACAGTATTTAATTGGCAGCATCAAATTTATTGATTGGCTTTTATAACGATAAACAATCACAATGTCAACTTTTGGTCAGTATATTTGTTTATATTTCGAGAAAAGAGTGTGAAATTTTAACTCGGCTAAGTATGTAAACCTTTACGATAATGTAGCAACATTATTTTTTAATTTTGTTATTTTCATATTGCATCGGTAGTTATCTGCAGCTTTGAAGAACCGTAGTATTTTCTTCAATTTTGCACCTTCGATATGGAGTATGTCTAAAACAAAAACCACTTTTTACAAACGATTAACTTTTGATAAACCAATTAAAACCTAGAAAACATTAAAATATATTGTTAAGTATACGTAAGATACCAGAGTATCATCATGGATATCAGCATTTAAGAAATTAACATAGTTTTGTTTGCATTTCGGTTTATATTTTATCTTTGATTTTTTGAGACCTGGCTAATCAGATAGAATATATTGTTATAGCTGCACTTAGATGTTCACGACACTTATTTGAGAGGAATTGTAATTGTGTAGTTTACAGCATTGTTGAAATTAAAAATTCACAAGGCCTCCTTTTGAAACAGAAAGAGAAATCAGTTTTTAGTCCACTTATTTTCTTTATGGTATGAAATGCAATTTGAAAAGAAATCAGTAGTGTAAACTTGACTGGAAGCAACATATTTCCATAAATGGATTTCTTTGAACAGGCGTGCTTTGCATCGTAATAGGTTAAAGAGCGTTACATGTGAAGCTGGTCTCTCTAAATATAACATTTGGTCACGCAACTCGTAAAAAGTCTGATTTATGGTTGATTTGAAAAAGCGGTCACTGCTAGATTTACTTGATAATTTTAGATATACGATTTATGATATAAAGTTAAAATTTACGTTTCCATACAATTATTATTGTAGAGACCTCTGAAAGTAATTGAAAGCTTGGAAGGCGAATCCCTTAAAGAAAACATTTGTTCAATTTCTTCACTAAATTTAAAATTTTAAAATTACACCTGAATCTTAAACATTGAATGAGTAAATCGGACGAAAAAGGAATGTCACAGAGAAAAGTAAGATTTTAACTTTATATTTATTTAGGATCGAAAGAAGTATTAAACTGAGAAAGATGTCCACACAAATATATTTTAAGTAACCAAGTACAGTAAATAACCAGTTTACAACTTAAATACATATTCGTGGAAATGCTGCATATGACTTGAGATAAACGAAAGCACAAATCAAAAGACCTCAGTTCAGTCTAACTGTCGATAAAGAAGTATCTAGTAATTTTTCACCCAACTTTCCTAGTTCAATCATAACTTTATCATTTGTAATTTAACTTTTGGATTGTGATTTCCTGTGTCTAACTTCTGATCTAATCTGAATTCTGTCAAGGAAGATTGCCATTTCAAATGCTCATATTTTAACATAATATTGTAAAGTTTTTCACCAAATATATTGAAATTTTGAGCTTGTTTGAGCTTAAAATAGTTAAGGGGTTTGCGGCCCTTAATCTTGCACTTGCACGTTCACATAGTCAACGGACGTGCATGGAACGTATCCAGCAAAGCAAGGGGTGACTGGTAAAGTACAAAGGTGAAGTTTAGTTTACTGTTAAAAGTATTTCTAGGTACCAGGATCTAAACAGATGATATAGCTGTCTTGGCCGCGAAGTCTGTGGTGCTACCAACTGAGCCACCGACTCACCTTAAATGTGCAAATTATAAATAATAGAATATATAAATAATAGAAAAATGACAATAGTTACTAATCAAACAATGGCAAAAAACTGCGTAACTTATAACTGCATTTATAAATTAATACAAAATGTATGTCTGTGAGTAACATTAATAAGCATTTTTATCTCTAGATTTCATCGACAATAAACCAAGAGCAATCTCAGGAAGTATCCTCCACCGTGAACTTTCAAAATTACTATAATAAGCTTAGGAGAGTCTCATAGTTTACTATCTTATTGGAAACATACGAACAATATACTGTTTGTTGCTTAATCTCCCTTTGTTCGAACTTGCTTCTAGTGTTGTTTACTTTGTCACATAGGTAACTTTTTCCAATCAGACACAGCAGTTAAAAGCGATATAGTGAGTTAATATTATTATGTTAATAATATTATATACTATTACAGTAAAATTATAAAACAGTCATGTGTTCGAATACTGCCTAGGTCAGGTTATTAAAGTCTGTAAAGGTTAAAACTACTAACTCTATTTACACTGTTTTAAATGGATATTTTTATACAATGTAAAAACATTACAATAATCGGATTAAATAAAGAAAACTCATTTTTGTAATTGAATCAATTTTACGTTCTAAGAGTTTACGATAAAATAATTAAATAAAAGAAATTTGAAAATATACAATAAAATAATTGAAAGGAACAAATTGAAAACTAGTTTTTCTACAGTTACAAAATCTAGTAAGCCTGTCATACAAAAGATCTGTGATCTGCCATCTTACTACGAAACATTATAATTACACATTTTCTCAAAATAATTATTTCAATACTGCAACATCATTATGAACCTTAACACTTCAGCAAACACGACTGCTTAGCTACACGTCTTTAGGAAATCTGAGCGCTCTTTGTTAAGTACATTATGGCGTCATTAATTTCAGAAACAAGTTTCAGCAAGATAAATTAGAATGTCTGATGAATGAGCTTACATGTTTGCACGCGAGATAAATTAGAGTAATTAAGCTGCACCTTGAAGTCGAGGTATTAATAGAGGTGGAAAATAAATGCTTCAGTCTTTAGCTTTGTTAGATTGTAGGATTAAATGACTTTGTTAGTTATATTATAAACTACTCAAGAAGTTGTAGAGTTAAATTTTCCAAAAAGTCGAAAAACAGAAATAAATCTAAAAACTAACGCAAATAACAACTAAGGACTAAACTATAGAACAAATTAAATTTATCTTGAAATGACGAGACAGAAGGTTAATACAAATGGAGGGTTTAGGTACTAAAAGAGAGGCTATTAATGTCTTGCGCTCGCCATTAGTCCTGCAGCTTGTCAGCGGTGAAGGTCCATGGGAAGTAGTCACAAGAGGAATAAGTATCATTTTATACCACTCCACGGGAAAAAAAATTGAAAATAGCCTGGAAGGATATAAGAGTAGAGGTAATTAAGAAGGGGAGAGTACATAGTATGGAGATAAATGCTCAGAAAACGGGAAAATTGCCGTTTAGGAAAGAACATTGCATCAGACTCTACAACGTGAACGCAGCTTTTTAACCTCTTCGGCTTCCGATGCCACCAACTTCACCAACAGAGGAAAAACCCAGACTAACAACAATATGGAATTTTTTAACAATTTTGCCAACGACACAAATTAAGATTTATTAATGCCTAACTATTTGAATATCAAAATATACCGGCTAAGACATTTTTTTTGTCCTAAGGACGCTAGGCACGAGCCTGGGATTGTTTTTCACATTACTTCAGGCTAGACCTAGGGGTTGCGGCATTATCACTTAGATAAAATCCATTGGTGACTTGGCGGGGATCGAACCCGGGACCTCAGGGA